AGAGCTTTCAAGTTGGGGAAAAAAAGATAAAACACTAGGGAAGGAGTTGTAGCAGTAAGAAAGTGGAAGAGAGCACTGGCATTGATGAGGTTAGGAGGGGATTTGTCACTGTGTTTCGAATCCCATTATATCCTCAGTCACGACAGCTTGAGGGTTACTGTACGTGGATGAACTGAGCATTTGTATAGGGAAATCAGCATGGAAACACAGTGGCTAAAATATTTGGGGTTTCAGCTAACAGTGCATCTTTAGCTACAACACAAATATAAATGCACTGCCTGGAATTACACATGAATGTGTGTGTATATATGTGCTCATTTGTGCTAAAGCTGCAATTAATTCTAAACTTAATCTGATTCTCTTTTTGCCACTGCCAAAGAAAATACAATAGTTCTCTTGCAAATCTACTTGATACATAAGCAGGGAGAGAGAGAGCAAGAGTTCTTGTACAAAGAAACAAGAAAACCTCAGCTCTTCTTGCTAAAGACTTCCAAGTAAGTGGAATGAGAAAATTCCCAAATAAATAATGTATGCTAATGCTAAAATTATTCAATGCAGTAAGTAAAATATGTCAATGAGTAGGGAACATAAATATTCACTACAGCAAATAAAAGCTAAGTGACACTGTCTTTCTGAATGCAATAAAATTACTTCTATGCTGACTTTTCCATATAGAATGCCTTTCAAGCTGAAAGAACTCTTTAAAAAAAAAAAGTGAGGAAAAGAAAAAGATGGGATGACTCCATTCACTCTAGTAGTGATGAAATAAGGCATGTGTTTTCCAGTGTGTAGAACTAGTACCCTATAAAATAACACAGGCATTAACTAAATAACACAGTCATTAAGTATTATATGTCATGGGAGGGAGCTTGAGCTCTGGCCTGTGCTGTGATAGAATGAACTCATATTGTCTCAAATGCAACATAAGCATAGAATAAAACTATTTTGCCCTACTGTGACACTGGGGTAGCTATATACTGATGACCACACTTTTGTGGCAAGAGGAGGGTTGGTCAATCAGATAAAAGAGATCCTAAGGCGTAAAGAAGGAAGATATGTGAGGGGGGAAAAAAGTGTTTGCTTGCTTGTTTGTTTGCTTTTTTTACATGGTTTATTTATTTATTGGTAGTTCACTGTTTTCCAGGGCTTGCTTCCAAATTGAAGAGGGAATCTGAGGCTAGGCAAATAACAGACCTTGTCTATCTGTATTTCTTGCAGAAATACGTTAGACTTAATAGGCTTTTTTTTTTTTTTTCCCCCTCCAGAATTTAATTCCTAATCGCTCCTTGTTAACTTGAACCAAACCTCTAGAGAAAATAAGCATGGCCTGCAAGGCAGCTGAGCCAAGGAATCCTTGTAGCTTGTGAGTTACAGAGCTGCCAGCCAACAACAAAAATGTATTCCCTTTTGTTTTCCACTTAATTGCTAGCATGAAATCCTAATATAAGCCATCCTTGTGGTCTTTGGGACAAAGCAGGGTGCAGAGAGCGCCTGCCTACGCTGGCACAAATTTGTGAATAAAGGAGTTGAGTCTTCCCTGTAGTGCTCGCCCTACAATGCAGAACTTGCGCTGCACAACTTGACAGTTCAACCCCAAGCCATCTCAGTTGGTTACATCTCAGTTAATGGCTATAATAGGAAGTTATTCCCTTTGGACTGGGCTGACAACCCAGAGAGCTAAGGACCAGGTCAGGAATATCTAACCAGGGTTCTCTAACTTGCCTGTGGATAGGCATGTACCAATCTAACCCAATTTTGGGTTAGATTGCCATCCTCTAAACTGCTGCTTTCTCTTTTCTGAGTGTAAAGGGAGCTGGCAGCGACTAACTCAGACAAATAACCTGCAGAAATCTGAGGTTAAATGAGACACATCTGACCCCAGCCTCTTTGATTCCTGTGCTGAAGTGAAGTCGTGCAAGAAGATATTAGAGGACTGCACCTAGTGCATTGACCACTCTTCCTTCCATTGCAGGCCCAAAGGAAACATGGGAAGCAAAGCCTTGTCCCATGACAGTGTCTTCATTCTGGAATCTTCACCAGGAAGTGTGGCAGGTGACACAGCATCTCAGGAGAACATACCTGGAAGAGTGAAAGCCTTACAGGTGAGAACATCTTCCCTCTTTCATGTAGTTGCTTTATATTAGTTGTCTCCTGGAAAACACCGCCCATATTCCTTGTTTGATTCCTCTGCTGTGTGCCTTAAGACTTTGTTGTCTGATGTTTCTAAAGCCAGATTTACTGCTTTTGAATCACTTCTGTCTCTTGGAAGACACATCTTCAAGTATTCCTGGTGCTGTTGGCCTATCTTAGCCGTCACAGTGTGCTTGTGATGGTCTCCAGGAGTCCATCAACTAGATTCTTTCCTTAATGAGTATGTCATCTTCCATTGGGATTCTCATTTTTTACTTTATAGTAAATAGCAATACTATATTGCTTTTGAGTGAAGGCCATTTATTTATACCTCAGCGTGTTCCTTACACTCTTTTTCTTTATTAAAACATTTCTTTTCTGTCCTTTTCTGGAATTCTGGCCATGATGTTTTCATAGTACGTGACAACACCATGGCCTGTGTAAGTGTGTGGGATGATGGATATATCAGGGCATTCTCAGTGACAGCTTTATTTATATCATTATTTTTCTGATCCCTGCCAGCAGAGGATACTGTATTCTGCTAGGTCATTTCCTTCTTCCAAGGCACACGCTGAAACCTCCATGACAGCTCCTTTATCAGCTGTTCGTTATATTAATTGCATTCAAATAGCTGCCCAGCTCAGAGCACTGAGATAAAAGTTTAAGGTTTTTCCAGAGACTGGAACAAACTGTTGATAAGGCAGCCAAGGGCCATTCAAATTCTTTCTTTGCTTAGTGTGAACTTCTTATTGCAAAATACATTTGCATCATATGTTGAGTAATAGAAGATGCACAGAGGGACTTGTTCCCCCATAAAACTGCAAAATAGGTTAAGCTTCAGTTCAGGGTATTTTTTTGCACAACAATAGAAGCAGCGGGAGAAATTATTTTTATACATGACAGATTTTGTTGGGGAAAAAAATTCTTTTCAAACTGTCACAAGTCCCATGCCCCCTCTCTTCAACCATGCCTCCTGCATGGTAGCATAATACTGCCAGCATTATTTTCATAGTCATAAAAGACAATTTGTCTCTTGGCAGATTAAAGGTCTATCACTGATAAAAGCTGTTATTTCCTTAGCAGTGTAAATTAACTTTACCAGTAGAAGATGGATGTAAATTTGGCAATTTCTCCCAGAACACTTTGCTGTCTGCATTTAATAAATTTAATAAATCAAAGATGGGCAGTTATGTAAAGAGAGGAAAGCAAATTTTACTCCCTGCATTTCCTTTTCCAGGAATTGTGCAGATATATTGGATGTTTTTGACCATGCACTGCAATCTTTCTGCAGTTTGTTATTGGCCCTGCTTTTGCAGATTGTATTGCTGATATTTCTTATATTGCTGTGGGTAAGAAGGCAAGAGAGGTGCTTAAATTGTGATTGGGAAGCTAGAGGATGAAAGGCTGACTGTGTTCTCTTGCTCCCTGTGTAGATATTAGAGCTATAGGAACTATGTTCCAAAGCAAGTGTGTCTGGAAAAGAATGACAACTGATGAAATCTAATTTGCAGAGATGTAAATGAATGCACTGCTTGAAGAGCAGCACAGAATTAGTCCTAAAATTTAAAAATCCTGTTTAATAAGCAAAGAATAAGGAAAAAAAAAAAGAAAAAGAAAAAAAAAGACTGGTCTGCACATTTATCTCAAGAATATTCAGATGAGCTGTTTGAGGGACAAATTCTCTTCAGATCTTGTCTATATTCCAGTTTTGACATAGCTGAAAGACTTAAGCCAAAAGTTTTAGCAATGGTGTTTCCTCAGATGTGAGTTTTTTTTTTTTTTTTTTAGTTGGAGAGAACATCTGGCTACTTGTGAGGTTGTAGACTTTGTTTTATTTTTCTAGGATCAGGGCCTGCCAGAGCATTTTTTTATGCAATCTTGGAAAATAATCTCCATAGTCCTTTTAAAACGGTCATTCCTGGCTGTCT